GTGATAAAATTAAGAGCATGTTTTGCTAATCTTAAGATTCAATTAAAATTGAAAATATATCCGTTATTGGGTCTCACTCGTCTAATAAAAGTCAACAATAACGGCTAATTTTTCAATTTTAATCCGATTTTAATATTTACCGAATACGCCATAAGTGTTAAATATAAAGAGCTTATTAGACTACTTCAAAATTTTAACTCTCTAAATTTATAGATGCTCTCCAAATAATGGAATATGCTCTTTAAAAATAGAGAGTCTCTTGGAGATGTTCTAAGCTAGTAGACAAGGTGGTATGAGAAAACCTGATGGCAGAACTTCCCCAGGATTTTCATAATCATTTAGAGAACCCACTGTGCCATCCATTGGCGGCCGCCGTAAAGACCATAAGAATCTATAGCCCGACCGTTCGAGTGCTGCAGCTACCTCCTTGACTTGTTCCCCCTTCAACCATCCCCAACTTCCGAAGCACAAAAACACCACCGAAGACACAGGCTGATTGTCCAACCACCTCCTTATCTTCTCATCCTCATCCGAATGATGCTTAAGATTGATTACAGGCCCAATCGTATAAACCGGCGGGTTCTTGCCATCTGACAGAAGGGCTTTCATTGGATCTGTCTCAAGCTCCATAAATGTGTTAACTATAATTCCTTTGGAACGTCGGATTCCTCGAGCAATAGACATGTCTAAATCGAAAGTGCCATGTTTATCCAGCATTCCAGAAGGCAAAACCTTGGCTGGAACTTGATTCTGAAAACCCGGAATCAGCAATTCTTTGTCAGTGTCCTTGTACTCAGTGATGTCCTGCTTCAACTCGTCACTAATAGTCTGGACCTGTAACATGATGGATAGAAATCCCGCGGAGGAAGTAAAAAACACATAACTCGGAATCTTGAACTCATCAGCGACATCAATCATGCTTACACAGAACAAGTCCACTATGAATCCAACAACCTGGGAAGACTCGAACTTTATGATTTCAAGAACGGCTTCTCTCACTAGTGGCTTTTGACTGCAGATATATTCAACGAGGAGTGCAGAAGGATTTTTTGGGTTGAGTTCTTGGGTGTAATCGGGTTGAGTTCTGCTGACGTTGGTGAATCGGAGGCGGGGCGGGGGAGTGGTGGCTGATGACAGAGATTGTGTATAGTTGTAAAGGGGTTTGTCGTTAGGAATCATATCCATGAGAAGATATGTAATAAAAAGATGGTGGTGGCGGCTGAGGATTTTCTGTCCAGTTTCCACGGCGGAGACAAGGTGGCCTAACCCGGGACCGGGGATGAACACCAGCTCTTTGGTTTTTTCCATTGTTTTTGCCACTAGAAGTTTTCTTTCTGATTGTGATCAAATTTATAACGATGATAATGATTATTTCAAAGTGAAAGTGAACCTATTGTTACTTGTTTACTCAAATAAAGAAATAACCCCTAATTTGTCGTCGTAATATCACTTTAAAACGCATTTGCCGGCAGAAATAAAATATGACTAGAATTCCATTATGAAGTGCATGTCATTTTCTAAAAATCCAGCTACACGCAGTTCCTAATGTTTAACCATTTGCACTTTAAGTATTCAAGTTTTGGTTTTTTATTTTTCAGGTATCTAAACTTCAATTTTCGTTGCAATATGAACCTTTTTCATATAGTCTTAAAATAGAAGTTAATAAAGATATTTTCACCTAAAAATAAAAATTTACCGACAAAATTAGTTATGAAAAATGAAACAAAATATAACAATTAGTCAATCGCATATCTTATATATTTGAGCATATTTAAATTGATAAGAAATTTTAATTCAATTATATGTTTAAACTTAAAAATTTACTTGTTTTAACATGTAGGTGAAAACACATTGGAGGTCACTTAACTTGAGAGAATTTTCATATGGATCACACAACTCTATTTTGTCAAATTAATGACCAAAATTTTGTGTCATTTCTAATTTAAATAACAAGTAGTACGTAGTTTTAAGTTTAAGACATTTTATGTCCCTGTTTGAGCCACATTATTTAGAAATTCATTTTTTTGTCAAATTCATTTCCAATTACACTCACAATAAAGTTGATGAGACGTGTGGTTAGAAAGTCACGAATACCATAAAATATGTGATTAACATTAATTAACAATTTTGATTAAAATCAAAATTAAAATTAAAATTTTAATTACTACCAACTAGGGCTTAAGTTTATTTTGACCGTTCATTTATAAGTTCAAAAAACGAGATTGCGTGCCTTGACATGCCATGTGATTGCCCATAGAACATGTTTAAGGGCATTTGCAGCCTTTTTATTCTCTATTAGGTAGGCGCTTCATATTTCGCAAGATTTGTTCTCATTATGTAAATTTTATAATACACGGCAAAACAAAAATAAGTGATTTTTTGGACAAAAGCTCCTCCATATCATATTCTAAGGTTGATGCACTCTCCTGCTTTTTGGCCACAAAAATCTGAACCTCGTAATGTGCTAACATGGACAAAGCCTCCATCTTATCCTCCGACAACCTTGGGTGGACTATAATTCGGTAATGTGTAGCATGATTGAAAAGAATTTGCATTCCAAGTGATTCAGATTTGAATTTGAACCATGCTAGAATTACAGCTTTGGTTCATAATTTTTTTCACAGCCCCCTCACATGGGGGTGGGGCCCGTAATGAGGG